AACCAGAGTCCAAAGTCTGGCAAGTAGAAGAACATACAGATGGGGGAAGAAATTAGGAACAGAAGGAGGTAGTTGGCAGCAGTGCTTGGTGCCCCTTACAGCATGTGGTGTAGGCTCTCAGGAATACTTGAATGAATGTCTATCAAGGGACCCTGAAGCCTGTGTAGGAAACAAGAGGGCAAAGGGAGAAGGTACAATGAGGGCACTCAGCTCTGTTCTTTGGTTAGAGAAATGATGTAGGAAGAGGTTGGAAATGGAGGGAGGTGAAGAGTAGGCTGAGAGTGGTGTTGCAGGGAGCCTGGGTTGTTGAACCACAACTCACACTGCTAGGGGATGGGCCCATCCTGGCAAGGAAGAGAGTGTAATCTGCTCACAGAAGATTCATCATCAGTGTGATCCAGGGGATTAACGATGAAACTGGAAGGATGTAAAGAAGAAAGAACCAATGATATTGTTAAATCAAACCTATGGAAGCTAACATATTTGATAAGAAGTATCTACTATGTCGCAGGCATCATGCTAAGCAAGTGCTTTACACATTCGCTTATGTAATACTTGCAAGAACCCTAGAAAGTAAAACAAACTGAGGTTTAAAAAGCATACTTAATTTGTACAAGTGACGCAGTTAGATAGTAGTAGAGCTGGGATTTGAACACAGGTCTACCTGACTTCAGAGACTAAGCTCTGAGGAGAGATACTTAAGGTATAAGAAATCAATATAGCAAGAAGTGAAGCACCAGTCAGCTGGCCTGGACACTGGCTGTTTGCACCTCCTTTGTCTCATCACACAAGTCATTGCTCCTTACTCTGCTCAGAGCCCTAATGTTACCTGGGCACACGCCCCTAGCTGACTCCCTGTCTCATGGCTTGGTTTTCCAGAGTGAAGCATCTATCCCAGGCCTGTGACAATAAGCATGTGTATCCCCCTGACCACAGTATGTGGTTTAGGTTATAAATATGATCTAAGCCTGTTTAATAATCATGGATCTCAGAGCTTCTGGACAAGACTCTGACTTTCCTGCTGGACTTTGACCTGGATTAACATGGGTCAGGGGCTATTGCAGCTATCTTGCCAACAGATGCTAGATCTGCCACGGAGTTCAAGAATGAATCCAATCCAGAGGTGGGCAGAGCCCAGAAAAAGACTGACAGACTGACTTGTATTGATATTGTCTAAACCCTGAACCCAGCTGTTTCTTAGGCTAGATCTATCCTGAACTTTTCAGTGATGTGAGTCAATAAATTCCTTGCTTTTAAGGTAAATTTGTCTGCATTTTCTGTTACCGTCAATCAGGAGTCCTCATATACCACATTCATACGGAAAGCATCTGCCTATGTGACTAAGGATAGAAGCATCTATCAAGGAGGGGAGAGAACAAAATGCTACTACTGGGGCCACCCACTTAACAGAGATGGAAGTTTTCCAATGCAAATCACCAAATTGGAGGAGAGGCAAGATTCAGTCCTGCCTGGTGAATAATTCTAACTAACCAAATGTCTGAACATCTTATTCTGGAAAAATAGAACATTTAATAAGTCTGGATTTGCTTAGCTGACAATTTCATCTCTCAGAAAGTTAAGAGAAAATGCTATTCTGTCTTTATTCTGACTCAGAAGGTAGAACAAATTGTTTTGTTTTGTTTTTAAAGGAAGGAACCTTGGGCAAACATGATTATGAGATTTTGAGAGTTTATTAAGAGCATAAGAACAAATTTTAAAAGTTCAAAGAAAATCTAGGGACAATATGATGGCTTAAGACCCTAAAAGGGAAGGTAGCTAAATAGATACAGAATGGAGCCCTTCCAAAACCAAAATCTGATAATTATAAAATCTTCGAATAGGAAAAAGTAACAGTATCCAAATCTTAGCTAGCAAATTAATCCTGAATGGTTCAAGGCTGATATTATTTATCAATCACAGAACTCTCATTCTCAAGTTATCCTTGACCCAGTGCCCATGATGGATTGAACAAAGCAGGGACATAAGAAGGAACCCAAAAAGAAACCAATGTAACAACACAGGGCTCTCAGAGTTCACATTATAAAAGGACATGCAAAAGAAATGAAATGTGGGGCACAATGTCAAGCCCAAATCCGTGGTGGGATGGGCCCACAAGGATGTAGCCGAAATGGTCAAGTCTAGAAAGAGCTGACATTTGTTTGAAGCAAAGCAAGACAAAAACAAACTTTTTTTTTTTTCCAAAGAATTAAAATAAAGGAGAGAGGGTCTTTTAAAAAATATGAGATATTGGTATCTCTACTTCGGGAAGATGACACAACATAAATAAAGCCAAATTCTTCAATTTCTTGATTTAGTTCTGTTATCTTCATTAAGAAAAATGATTTTCACCAAGAAAAGGACAACCACCTTAAGAGAGACTGAAAGTGCAAGATGGAGAGAAAGATGGGAAAAGCCCAGCCATCAGCATCCCAGGGCCTTCTGGGAACTTGGACAGGGGCTCAAAACACCTCTTAGCTGATCTCTGAAGAATAAAAGATAACAGGGAAAATGCCAGAATACTAGAGACTGGCCAACAGCATCTTTATTTTCAAAAGAGGAAAAAAAGACTCCATTAACCACAAGACTAGAGAGCCTACCACCAACCTCTGCTAAGCTGCATTCTCAACCAGGCAGATTTCAGAGCATGCAAGAAAGGAAGAGCTGAGAAAAAGGCAAGCAACTCAGTAGAAAAATGGGCAGAGAATAGATACAGGCAATTCACTGAAGAGAAAATACAAATGGCCGATAAATATAAAAGATCCCCCTAATCATGGAAATACACATTAAAACAACCAGATACTATTTATCTATGCAGCAGCTCAGCAAAAATTTAAAAGTCTGATAATATCAACAACTGGCAAAAATGTAGGTAAATAAGTACTCTCACTAGTAGAACATACAGCTTTCTTTAAGTGGCAATTTGGTGGTATTGATTAAAATTAAAAATGTATGGTATTTAACCCAGCAACCTGAAAGATTCACACATGCAGAGACCTGTAGAAGGTTTTTCATTACAGGACTATTTATAAAAGTAAAAGATGAGATAAACTATCCAAAGTTTGGCCCATGCTTAGATACACTACAGTCCTATAAAATACTTTACAAAATAAAGTCAATCTATACAAACTGATACAGAATGATCATTAAGATGTTATCATTCATACTTTTAAAAAAGCACAAAAGAAACCTATATATTTCCATAAGTGCATATATGTATATAAATGAATAAAAAATAATTTAAGAGGATATCCATTAACCTAGTAACAGAGAATATCTGTCTATACTTTTTTACGTCTTTTATAATTAAAAAGGTCTTCACTTATTATATAATTAAATATATACATTTAACAACTATGTATATAACAAAAAGTCAGACCCAGTGAGCATTAGAGACCAGCATGTGTACCAGGAGTAAGACCTATCAGGCCTACTCAGTTCCTTTTTCCTGGGATGATGAAGGAAATGCCAATGGCACTATGAACAGAGTGCCCACAGACTAACCGCAGGGACTTCACATCATCATCATGGACACAACAGGAAATTCAAGCTGGACAACAACGCTAGAAGGCACGGCCAAACTTGACTGAGTACCTACAGTCAAGAGTTACTGATCCAGAGCTCACGTGGAATCGTAACATATTCATTTATTCTTTCAGTTTCTCAACAGACATTTGAGATCTTACTATGTGTCAAGCATGAAGAAGATACCAAGACGATCCCTGCCTGAAGCTTAGGATACTGAAAAGTAGACAGAAGGGAAAACTTAAAAAAAAACCAAAAAACAAAAAAAACTGTGACACTCACCTGAGGTGTTACGGAGGCTGCAAGAGTAGGGCCTGACCCCAACCTGGCCTCTTAAAGGAGATCACCATCTATACCAAAAGCCTAGTTCACCTCAAGAAAGGGAACATGAATCTTGAAGTACCTCTAATACCAAAAATTGCATACATGTGAGTTGGAAAAGGTTGACAAGCTAAAACACAACATGTGAAATCCATTTCTGTCACTAAAATATCCTGCCTTTAGGCTGCTGGAGCTCCCTTTTGTTTTGAGGCCTCACTAAAAGATCACTGTCAAAGAGACCTCTGAGTTAAACAAGGTATCTGGATAGTGAAGAATGAGGCCCATGTCTGATGAGGGGTAGCTAAAGGCACACCCTGACTTTTCCAGGCCCATCCGACCCTCTCCAAGCCCCTGACTCCAGTCATTACTCCCCTGCCTTCTCTCAGGGAATCACTGAGAGACAACAGACTCAGGAATTTCAACATCCCCTCGGTTTGCTCATCAGAAGGGGCAGATGGAAGATAGCTACCTGGTCAGACCCCATCAGCATGGTGAGCAGTCTATGGCAAACTTAGTTTGCAAGGTCTTTTTTGTCCTTCCTCTCTTCCCCAATTTGGTGCCCTAAGGTTGTCCCTTCCACCACAAAGAAAAGACAAACTGAGAAACACACACCAAGTTCCAAGGCTTTGTATCACAGGCAGTCATTTCACCTTCCCAGGCCTTCATGTTTCTCTGTCTAATGAAGAGCATGGACTAGAATCTAGGGGGTTCCCAGGGGTCCCTAATTCCTAGGCTGCAGACCGGTACCAGTCTGTGGCCCATTAGGAACTGAGCCACACAGCAGGAGCTGAGCAGCAGGTGAGCGAGCCAAGTTTCATCTGTATTTGCAGCCACTCACCAGCACTAGCATTGCTGCCTCAACTCCACCTCATCATCAGGCATTAGATTCTCATAGGAGCACCGGTCCCTAGTGCCAAAAAGGCTGGGAACCACTGGACTAGATAACTTCTAGGGGACCTTCCAGCTCTGACAGGCAACGTGTGTTTGCCACGTATGCGTTCTCTTCCAGAAAGAATTCATTGTTTAAAAAGACTTCAAAGAGAGGGCAGTGCTTAATACAAGTGGATGAACGGTGGAAATTTGGCACCCAAGAGTTCTTATTTGGGTCCTGATCCCAGTGTTGGAAGCAGTGACAGGGACCCTCCATTGGGACTGACCTCTTCAGTGATGACCGAGACAGCACCTGTGCGGCCTGGTTCATGGCCCTGACCCAAGCGTTCATGTCCTCCTGGGTGTCGGCACTGAAATAGTAGGTCCTCATGCCCGACTGCTCGGCCTGAGAGCCCCTGGTGGAGCTATTATAGATGAGCGCTCGCATCCCCGCATGCACGGCCTGCAAGATTGGGATGGAAACCCAGATTAGTGCACGTTTCACTTCTAGGAGCAAAAATAAGGAGACACTCGGGCCACGTTCTCCCCTCTTCCAGACTAAAAGTCCAAGCACCACCCTGCTTGTTTCCACACCTGGAAATGCCACAGCTGGATTCCCCTTAGTGCAGTCAGGCCCAGGGGCAGCTGTGCCGACTCCCCCACAGGAGTGCCCTGCAGCTGTACCTGTTTCAGACTTATCTTACTCCTGTGTAGGGAGGGGCACACAGTCAAGGCTTATGTGAGAAAGACTTTAAATAAACCCTCATTTCACAGAAGCAGACTCTCGGGAATCCCCGTTTTGGTTCTTCTGAAGCACACAATTACTGGAACTGAGTCAAAAACCAGCTGCAACAGCAGGTGGCTCAGTGCAGATATTCACTGTGCTTCACGGTTTAGGCATGAAATGTGCTGTGTACTCATTAAAGAAGCTGCTGTTCTGCTTCTCCCAAGAGGCACTACAAAGTTTGACAAGCTAACATTTGACTGAAAATCCTCGCACACCTACTATGTGCTAGGAAGCCTTAAGGTGCTTTCACATGTATCCTTGCAAAGAGCCTATGAAGAGGTACCGAGAATGACCACTGAAAAGCAACTGGGATCGTTTGCAAACAAGAGGCAACTCCAGTGTTCCCCTTGTGCTCTGATAAGCAGGGGCCTATCTTAATCTTGTCAGGAAGAGCCTTACCAAACCTACATAGGAAGATGGTGTTAAAAAAAAAAAAAAAAAAAAAAAGGAAGATTTACTGAATGACTACTATGTGTCTCCTGGGAACTTCCACAACTTTAAACTCATTTTAATCCCTTGACAGGTAGGGACAGAATCTATGTTTTACAGATGTGGCAAATGAAGGTCTGAGATGTTAAGTAACTTCTCCAGATTTCCACATCCAGTAACAGATTATTCATAGCACTTATCATTATCTGGTATTATTTATCTTAATACTGTTTATCATCTATCTGTCTCTTCCCTCTAGAATATAAGATCCATGAGAGCAGGGGTTTTGTCTATGATGTTCACTACTGTATTCCCAGGAACAGTGCCTGGCACATAGTAGGTGCCCAATAAATATTTGTTGAATGAATGTAGAGCTGGAGCCGGGATTTACACCCAGGTCTGTCTGACTCTGAGTCCAAGCTCTCTGTACAATGCTTCCAGGTCCTATGCAAAAATGAGTATGATTATATAGACCACTGCTCTGATAATCTGGATCCAGAATGAAAGGCAAATTCCATGCAAGGACCAGTCAGAGAAATAAAATCAGAGAACCAATTAGAAGCTGGAAAATGACATGCTAGAATCACTAACGGTCACAAATGAAACCTCTCAGATGAACTGTTAGCATTTACTTCTCCACACACTAACATTCAGGTCCAAAATGCATGTTAAATATGGGCTTGCTTCTGACATTCACGTATCTGAATCCATCCAGCTCAGTGCCAAGGAATTGCAGGCAAACTTGGGCTGCAGCAGAGAGTCCCTACATCAACCAAATCAAACCTGATTTCCTTCTTTACATGTCCCAGGAAGGATTCCTCCTATTTAAACAAGGTGGAAATATGGCAATAAGAACAGATTGAGAAAGGACCTATGCATGTCTTATTGTGAATCAGCAGAAATTCTTGGAAAGTTCCCCTGGACAATGACCCCATAAGATCTCTGACACCCCCTTCCAGAATTTCTGCCCAGCCACAGATGGTTCTGGGACAGGCGCTCACCCCATCGGACACGAGGCCACCCACAAGCACAGGAAACCCATAAGCGTATGAGAGCGCAGGTCCCTGCTATACAGGTTTCATGGAGCCAGCTTTGTCCAGGAAATCAACACGGGACACACTTCAAACAAGGAGAGTTTGCATGTCTTTCATGGGCCTTGGGAGTTAGATCCATCGTTACAAAAGGGTTAAAAAAGATCACAAACACAACCTCAGTCACTAATTAAACTGCCAGCATGTGCTGTGCCAGCTACACTTGGCTCTGAAGAACAGGTTCCCAACTACATGCTGCCTGTGCCTGGGCATATTAAATGTGTTAACTGTGAAGCCAAGAAGTACAGGGAGTTCCCCTTCCATCTGGCCAAGTGACCCAAGTCCAAAGTGCCCTAAGCCTGAGGAAGATGCCAGAGCCAAGATGATTTGAAGTCACATCTTGAAGGTACTCCCTTCCCCTCTGCTCTGCACTTTCCAATTAACACAATCCTACTAGGTAACTTTGCATGACTGACCAGAAACCAGGCTATACCTAAAGGAAATGAAACTTGCACTCCAAATGCCAGTAGAGTGGACCTTCAATCCATCCCACCCTCACCATCCCTAGGGGGCCTAGGAAACGTTAACGGTGAAGGGATTATGGAGGCCATTGAAGGAGATGGCTTCAAGATCCCCCAAGTTTGGGCCTGACCATCACCTTCCTAGAGCCTCAACGCCTGGCTATGAAGATGCCAGAGGCTGTCAAAGGACAGCCATCAATTATCATAGCCTCACTCCAAATGCCACAAAGACAAAGGAAGTAGAAAAGCGGTTTTACTGTTAAAGGGATTTCCCTAGGAGTTTTCAATGAGCCAGAAAACAAACCAAATTTGATTCTAATTGCTTTTCAACAAGATAAACAAAATGGACAAACCTGAAAATTTCTTCAACAGGCAGGCAGGCCCCTAATCCTCAATGTAAGTTTTCATACTAAAACTGATAAAAATCCATTATGAGGGACTGTCATTTGCAGTAAGTGGCTGGATGCTTGTTAGACTGGCTGACTACAGTGATAAGAAAGCATGAGAAGGCTGTGTCCAATTTGTAATCACAGGACTAGAAGTGACAGGGAAAGAAGGGTTTAAACACTTCAGCAAGGCTGGAGGACTCAAAAGCTCAGATACAAATGAAAGAAATTGTGATGTGATATTACTCTTGGGTAAAGAATTTATAACTTTGTTAATATGAGTTTGAAATGCTCTAGCTTAACTTCTTCCCCCTCCCCACAAAAACACTGCTTTTATGAAGCCATTTTTGGGAACACCATTATTTTAGGATGGAATGACAGTACTGGAGGAGAGGGAGCAATACCTTAAAGGAATACTTGCGACTTATGCGGTCCTCAGGAGCCACAGGTGAGACCACGTAGCTGGGCAGAGGGACACTCCCAAGGACCGCTTCCTCTCGGCTGTCTTTGAATTGAAAGACACATCAGAATAAACTTGTGTAGCACCTTCCCGGGGCTGGTTCATACCACTGCTCTAGTTCAGGTCTCCCAATCTCTCCCCAAGACAACTGCATTCACTGAAGGTCCATTTGGCTTTTCCCTAGGGACCCTTGTGCTAATGTTAGAACTACACAGGTGAATAAGACAGAGCCCTCTCCCCATGGGTGGAGACATGTAAACACGCTCAACTCAACCTGCTAACTCCTAAAACACAACAGAATACCAAGTTGTGCAGGAATACACAGGCAGGAGTGGCACTGTCTGGGGAAGTCAAGAAGGCTGCAGAAGGTGATATTTAAAGTGTCTGAAAGGATGGGGAAGGGCATTCTGTGTGGAGCAAACCTCATAGGCAAAGTTAGAGCATGTGTGAAATATTCTAATTTCTACATCTATTCTCATATTTTTCTAAACCATCTTCATTACCAGAGGCAACTTCCTGATCACAGTTAGTCCTGTCGCTTTCCTACTCAGAGGCACTCACTGAATGCCAGCTGGATACAGAATGAAGCCCAACTTCTTCTGCCCAGTGTCAACAGCCCTTGTGCCTTTTGGCCCTTACTCACCTCCTGAGCCTTATCTCCTAGTACATCCTCCATGCAAGACCTACTTTGACCTTGCAGGTCTGTCATTCCACCTACTTTTGCTTCTAGAACTTAAGTTGTTTCCTCTGCTTGGAATGTCCACCGCTCCCCTACACACAAAGCTCTACCCATCCCTAAAAGCCCAACTCAAATCCCATCTCTTCTAAGAAGACTCCTCAAATTCTCCAATATGCAATTAACTTCTTGCCCTCTCTAACCTGCCCAAGGACTCTGGATGTCTTCTAAACTGCAGCGGTCTCCAACCTTTTTGGCACCATGGACCAGTGCTCCTATGAGACTCTAAGGCCTGATGATCTGAGATGGAGCTGAGGTGGTGATGCTAGCGCTGGGGAGAAGCTGCAAATACAGATGAAGCTTTGCTCGCTTGCCCGCTGCTCACTTCCTGCTGTGCGACCCGGTTTCTAACAGACCACGGACTGGTACCAGTCTGTGGCCCAGGGGTGGGGGACTCCTGTTCTGAAGCATCAATCACAGCCTTTTCTGAAAAGTAAGCTATTTCTTCCTCCATATTTTGAGGCTTATTTCCTTCTCACCACCGCATAGCCCCTAACTCTATGCACCGGGGCTCCATAATTGTTCATTTGGCCAACTCAATTCAATATCGTGCCCATCCAATATCAAAGTGGATAAACCTAGGTATCAAGTTACTAAACAAGATTTATCTATACTTTCCACCTCTCCAGATTGTGTCAAAGGTATGCTTATGTCCCAAGTAGGGCAGAAGCTGACAACTCCAGATCTTCAAACCCTAAGTAGCAGGCAAATCAGATTTATTTTAGCTGAACAAATGATACTTCCAGTGCTAAGACTGGTAAAAATGAAGTCATCAACCATCCATGTAAGTAAAAGTGAACACTTTGTCAAGACAATAGGTTATTAATTAAGCTCAGGCCACTGGTCCATTCACTAGATTTGAGAAGACCACATCTGCATCACCTCATCACCCCCCGCCCAGCACAAAGAGCCCTTAGTGGCCTGAGACTCAGCTTACCTTTGTAGTAAAACAAGCAATAATCCGCAAGCACAAACCACCTCCTTTTCCACAGCCTCATCCCAGAACTGTCCTGTAAAGCAAAGAAAACTAATCAGGGCAATGTCTGAGCTTACTGCTCCCCGTCCCCAATCTTGATTTGCCCATATTCACTCTTTCTATCAACAAATTAATGATTTTTTATTGCAAACCCATTCTTTGACTAGGGCATTAAAATTTAGATTCAGTGATGGTTTATCCCTGGGAAATTTCTGTTTGTTTCCTGGAAACAGATTAATACATTATAAGCATCCTTCTTTTAGAAAACCAAGATATGAATTTAAAAATGCACTTCTTCCATTAAGAAGATATCAGCTTTTAACAAAAAGGAAGCTGTTTATTTATTTATTATTTAATTTTATTTCAATTCTATGCTATAAAATACCTTCTCTTATGCCAATTAGAAAAACGATTTATATAGTATGAACAAAGAGTTTAGGTTAGTTAATTAATCAATGAGGCAAAATTCTCATTTGACCAAGTTCGGTTCTCTGCCATAAAGAACTGATTTTATGGTGTGTTTTCCTTCCATTCAATGTAAAGAGACTTGGATTTTCTTGCTATCAAATTATCTCATAACAAAAATCTGTCTTTTTCATTTAAAGTGTCGATCATTACATTTATTTAAAAAAACGAAAAAAAAAACATGGCCAGGGTGGGAAAATAGCAGTGTGTTAGGGTCAGTTTTCTCTCAAACCTAGGAAATTCCAGAGTCACTTTTAGCTGTTAAAATGGTCTTTCTTCTGCAAAAGTTTTTGACAGGCTTAAATTAAAAAAAAAAAAAAAATCTGACAGTTTCTAAACCTAACGACATGAAGTCTGTTCATTCTCCATTTACTAAAGTAGTAAAAACAATTTTAATTTGCTGAGTTCATGCATTTCATGGTTTTATCTTCTGCAATGACCAGATAATCTCTCAGGTCTTGGCATATATTTGCTTTGTTTGGAAAACTCCTCTCCTTCTTTCCATACCTGGTTCAAACGTCACTCTCTCTGGGAAGCCTTCCAAGACTCCTCAAGCACAGCTACATTCTCTCTGCTGTGTGTCCATGACCCTCCACACAGACCTCTGTTATAGTTACAGCACAGCCAAGGGGCCTTGGCTAGGGCATAGGGGTTGGGGAGAAAAATTATTTAAAATCCCTTCCCTCTCCTTCCACATTTCAAAGGAGCATCCTTTTGTTTAATGAGGATAGGGACACAAATGGAAAAAGTCAGAGGGTTAAGTTTCTCAGGTAAGAAAAGAGATGAACAGAGAGAGAGGTGAGAGTGAGAACAGAGCTGTGAGGGAAGGAACAGCATTAAGAGAAGGGTGTTGCCAGAAGAGGCTAGAGAGCTATAGGAGTTGCTGTGGGAGCAGAAATGGGGGAGAGAGATTTCATGAGCATTTTCAAGGGATTTTTTTCGTTTGATGTGCAATGTAATGCCCGCCTCTGTCTTCCCATAACTCCTTTAGTAAAAAAAATTTACATCATTGCTCTTGGCGTTTGTGTTTTTTTAGATGGCATGATATGTGAGAGATTATGCTAGGTGATGATATGACATGTGAGAGATGTGTCTGTTTCCCTTGGCAGACTGAGTTCCTCGAGGTCAGGAACCACATGTTAGTCATCTCATTATATCTGCTATGGGAGCACTTAGAACATCAGCACTTGGTGAATTAATGGATGGATGGAGGAATGGCAAGGAGAGAAAAAAGGAGACAAAAGGGACTTGGTCTCTGTCCCTGGGAGCTCACAGCCTATCCATGGCCAGAGGGCCAGAAGCAGAACAACTAGTGGTGAAGACAGAGATGAAGGATGGCCTGGAGGCAGAAGGAACTGACAGGGCTTCAAGGCCCAATGAAAGTGGGAGGAGGAGCTGGTGATGGTGCGGAGTTTTCTAACCTCAGTGCCTGGAAGAATGGTGGTATGGTCACCAAATCCAGAAAAAGCAGGTTAGCAGGG